GGGAGACCCAGATAGAGTTCCAGGCTCCTGGCTTCAGCCTAGGCCACCCCTGGCAGTTACAAATAAAGTCTTGTTAGACCAAAGCTGCATGTTTGTTCCCTGAAAAGTTCATATTGAAATCCTAACCCTAGCCAGCGCCGCGGCTCAATAGGCTAATCCCCCGCCTAGCGGTGCCAGCACACTGGGTTCTAGTCCTGGTCAGGGCACCGGATTCTGTCCCGGTTGCCCCTCTTCCAGTGCAGCTCTCTGCTATGGCTCAGGAGTGCAGAGGAGGATGGCCCAAGTGCTTGGGCCCTGCACCCCATGGGAGACCAGGAGAAGCACCTGGCTCCTGGCTTTGGATCAGCGCACTGGCCGCGGCAGCCATTGGAGGGTGAACCAACGGCAAAGGAAGACCTTTCTCTCTGTCTCTCTCTCACTGTCCACTCTGCCTGTTAAAAAAAAAAAAAAAAAAAGAAATCCTAACCCCAAGGTGATAGTATTATGGATGTGATTTGGTCATAAGGTTCAAGGCTTCGTGAATGGGATTAGTGCACTTAAAAAGGAGAACCCATGTGAGGACTCAGTGAGAAAGTGCCCTCTGTGAACCAGAGGGTGGGTCCTTACCAGACACTGAATCTGTTGGTGCCTCCAGATCTGTGAGAAATACATTTCTTTCTTCTATAAACTACCTAGTCTATTGTATTTTATAGCAGTGCTAATGGACTGCTGCTATAAATGAGCCACCATGCTCATCCGTGTAAATGTTCTTTGCCCCTCTTCATGCTACCAACAGTGACATCCTTTGATTCAGTCCCATATGGCCGCAATGGCTGAAGCTGAGCCGATCCAAAGCCAGGAGCCAGGAGCTTCTTCTGCGTCTCCCATATGGGTGTAGGGCCCCAAGCACTTGAACCATCCTCCATTCCTGCTTTCCCAGGCGCATTAGCAGGGAGTTGGATTGGAAGTGGAGCAGTCAGGACTGGAACCGGCGCCAATATAGGAAGCTACTGCTGCAGGCCAGGACTTTAATCCACTGAGCCGTAGCACTGGCCTCGACAGAAGTTTCTTGACCCTTTCTGTTTAATATGCTGCTGCTCTCCTAAGTTGTTTTTTTTTTTTTTTTTAAGATTTATTTGAAAAAGTGACAGGAAGACAGACAAAAAGATCTTCCATACACTGCTTCTTTCCCCCCAAATAGCTACAATGGCTAGGTCTGGGACTGACTGAAACCAGGAGCCTGTAACACCTAGGTCTCCCATATGAATGTCAGGGGCCCAAGTGCTTGGGCCATATCCTCTGCTTTCCCAGGAAAAATCAGCAGGGCGCTGGACTGGAAGCAGAGCATCTGGCACTGAACCAGCACTGCAACACGGGATGCCAGCAATGAAGGTGACAGCCTCACCTGCCGTAGCACATGTCAGCTCCTCCTCTAAGATTTAATTCTATGTCTCTGAGTGCTTATTGGACATAGTTTTTATTCTGTACCAGTGAGGAGTTAGGATAGAGAGCATGGTTGGTATGGTTTGTCTCAATGTATTGGGCTTCAACTGGGAAGACTTGGCATCTGCAGCTAGGATCATCTAGAGCAAGGGTCAGAAAACTTGGGCCTTCCACTTGTTTTTGTAAATGAAATTTTATGGAACCAGTAACATCCCTTCATTTGTTTGTTAGCCATGACTGCTTTGCTGTTGTAATGGTAGATTTGCAGTAGATACTGTAAGGTCTACAGAGCCTAAAATACTTTGTGTCTGGACTTTGACAAAAAGGTTTACCAACCCCAGTCTAGAGGCATCCTCACTTATCTGGCAGTTGATGTTGGCTTTTAACTGGAACTTGTTTTTTTTTTGTTTTTTTTTTTTTTAATTTATTTTTATTTTTTTTTAAGATGTGTTTATTTTAAAGGTCGTAACAGCCAGGGCTGTGCCAGGAATGTCATGTGTGTCTCCCACATGGGTGCAGGGGCCCCAGTACTTGGGATATCTTTTACTGCCTTCCCAGGCGCATCAGCAAGGAACTGAGTTAGAAGTGGAGCAGCGGAGACTCAAACTGGTGCCCAAATGGGATGTCAGCAATTTAACCCGCCATACTGCAAAGCTGGCCTCTCAACTGGAACTGTTGACCAGAGTATTTCCATGTTGCCTGAGCTTCCTCACAGCATGGCTGTTTTAGGGTAGCTGATTATATAAGGCAACTCATGGCACTAGAAGCAGCGCCAACAAACAAGGAAGACCTAGCCTTAGGAACCATACAATGTCACTTGTGCCACATTCTGTTGCTTACAAGTGAGTTATAAGGCCGTTCAAATTCAAGGGGAGAGAACATAGACCTTCCAACTCTCAAGAGAAGTGTCAAAGATTTTTCAGCCATTTTTCGAATTGCCACAGACTTCTCACTAGTATCAAAAATTCCTTGTGTGCTTGGGATCTTGGCCCAAACTAAACCCCTCTCCCCATTTTTTTGTTGTTCAGTAGTCCTATCATTATTTTACTCTTCAGGGATTGAAAACGTAATCATTTCTGTTTGACCATGCACATCCATTTACATCATAGGGTTTTTGTTTTTCCCTACCTTTTGGATGTTACTTTTACTCTCAGCTGCTATTACCAGTTCCATCTTATCCTCACCCCAGGATCATTATAGTAGTAACCAAAGGGCGGACTCTGCTTATTGGTCCCTTCATAACCATAGTATACAGATAATTGTCAATACATTTTGATCTGTAGATTTCATCAAATTCTCAAGGGGCTCATTACCCAAAAAATGTTTGACAACCGTATATTGGGAATCCCCAGACCTTGCCCATATTTGGAGACTCAGAAAGACTCAGCATATTGCACATATTGCAGCTAAGGCTTATTATACTGAAGGGACATAGTATCAGCAAGGGTAGAAGACACAAATAGGAATTTGGGAAAATTCACGCACAGGCTTCCTCCTGTTCTCTTCTTCCTATGAGAGGACACACCACGCCCATTGCTTTGTCTAGCAATAATGAGACATGAGGTAGAAGTATGCAGTGCTTCTGCCCATGGAAACCCCTTAGAGATGCAGGGCCCAAGGTTTTCATTGGGCCAAGGTTGGTCACAGAGGCACTCTGCCTAGCAAGTACTAAAATTCCAGACTCACAGAAAGAAAGCATGTGTTCAACATGAATGTCATTGTTTACACAAGCAGATTAGCAAGGGTAAACCACTCTTATCAGTTAGGAAAGGTGGACGCTCTGTCGAAAACCCAAGTTCTAAAATACTGAGGGTCAGCTTTGTTAAGTAGGTCTGCTAAAATTGTGTAGCATCCTAAGGCCTACTATGTTAACTCTTCTGCACAAAGTTACTTGTTTACACATTGCTGATACGTATAATGTTATGTGTAATGTTAGACATTCCTGATATGCCTTTTTGGTCATCTGATTTCATCTTTGCTCTCATCACTTCCCTGTCAGAACCCTCTTGTGAGATACAGTTCAAGGATTGCCCCTCAGCCTCCTTGCCCCTATCCCTGACCAGGAGCTGGTACTTCTTTATTCCATCTATTACAGATCATTCTTTTTTTTTTTTTTTTTTTTAAGATTCATTTACTTATTTGAAAGTCAGAGTTAGAGAGAGAAGGAGAAGCAGAGAGAGAGAAAAAGAGAGAGGTGTTCCATCCACTGGTTCACTCCCCAGTTGGCCACAATGGCCAGAGCTGCACCAAGCCAAAGCCAGGAGGCGGGAGCTTCCTCAGGGTCTCCCATGTGGGTGCAGGGGCCCAAGGATTTGGGCCATCTTTTACTGCTTTCCTAGGCTATAGCAGAGAGCTGCATTAGAAGTGGAGCAGCCAGGTCTCGATGCCAGCACTGCAGGAGGTGGCTTTACGTGCTATGCCACAGATCATTCTCCTTTGATACTCAAGAGCACCACGTATCTGGCCTTTGGCCTGTAGCTTTTTTTGATTGATTGATTGATTTATGTATGTATGTATGTATGTATGTGAGAGAATTACAAAGAGAGGCAAAGACAGAGATCTGCCTTCCACTGATTCACTCCCCAAATGGCCGTTACAGCCGAGGCTGAGCCAGGCCAAAGCCAGGAGCCAGGAATTTCATCCAGGTCTCCCACTTGGATACAGGGGCCCAAGCACTTGGGCCATCTTCCAGTGCTTTTGCAGGTGCATTAGCAGGGAGCTGGATTGGAAGTGGAGCAGCCAGGATTTGAACCTGCCCATATAGGGTGCTGGCACTGTAGACGGCAGCTTAACCTGCTACACCACAGTGCCGGCCCCTGGCCCATAGAATCTTAGATTACTGCTTAATATTTTCAGGTCTGTGTGGTTAAAGTGCATTACGTGGGGCCTGTGCTTTGGCATAGTGGGTAAAGCTACTGGCTGCAGTGCCGGCATCCCATATGGGCGCCAGTTCAAGTCCCGGCTGCTCCACTTCCGATCCAGCTCTCTGCTATGGCCTGGGAAAGCAGAATATGGCCCAAGTGCTTGAACCCCTGCACCCATGTGGGAGACCCTCAGGAGCCTCCTGGCTCCTGGCTTCAGATTGACACAGCTCCAGTCATTGTGGCCAATTGGAGAGTGAACTAGCAGATGGAAAACCTCCCTCTCTCTCTCTGTCTCTCTCTCTCTGCCTCTCCTCTCTCTCTGTAACTCTTTCAAATAAATAAATGAATCTTTCAAAAAAGTGCAATCCCTTTGAGATTAGGCATTCCTATATGGCCTCATAATCACCCCGTGTGTCCCTTGGTAATGGCATGGGCCTCATTACATGTCTCTTGAGAACTGAGACCACATGAAATGCAGGATCTAGTACTGTCTTCCATAGTAGCAACAGTTGCAGGTTTATTGGAACTAAACCTCTTTGTTCCCCATCCTACTCAAACAGAATGCCATACATTCTAGCAAATGCTAATTGTTTTCAAGTAGACTTTTTCACTTTTAATAATTTGTATTTTTTGTATTTTAAAACTAAATACATAGGCTAATTTGGTTTTCTAAATTTCATTGTCTCACTAGATTCTAACCTTTTTCTGTGGCAGGATGCAGACTCATCTGAGCGTATCATTGCTCCCATGCGGTGGGGCTTAGTCCCATTTTGGTTCAAAGAAAATGATCCTTCCAAGTTACAGTTCAACATGATCAACTGTCGTAGTGATACCATGATGGAGAAGAAGTCGTTCAAGGTAGTTGGCTAGGGGAAGGGTAGGAGGGAGGAAGGGAATGCCATTATATTCTTAGAATTGAATCTATGAAGTACATTAAATCTATTCTCTTTGTATTATCATATTAACATTTAAAAGTGTCAGAAAAAAAGAAAGGTAGGTGACTGATCTAGGGGAAAGGCACATCCTCTATTCTTTTTTCCATCAGAGCTGTTAGTACCTTCCATACCTGAGAATTAAAATAAGGTTCCAGTGTTTCCAGTTGTTAATGTTGATGCTGTGCTGTTTATTAGTGCCTTACAGCAAATCACCCCCAAACTTAGTGATTTAAAACAAAACCGTTATTATCACTCATGTTTTGTGGGTTGTCCAGGCTCAATTGGGCACTTTTCACTTAGAGGGTCTCTTGTAGTTGTAATCAGATGGCAGCTGGAGCTGAATGTCTAAGATGGCTTCTTCATCCACATCTGACCCTTTAGCTAGGATGGCTAGAACAACTGAAAGCCGTTCCACATGCTTTATTTAATGGGCATGTCAGAGTAGTTAGTGTGCCATGGCAACTCGCAACCCAGAGCTCATGATCCAAGAGAGCTGAACAGAGGCTGCAAGGCTTTGACTTAGCCTTGGCAAATCCTACAGCATCGCTTCTGCTCTGAGATGTGCTGTGCAGAACCAGACCAAAATCAGTATGGGAGGAGATGGACTAGGTAGGGGATGAATACTGGAAAGTGTAGTTCATTGAGCATCCAACTTTGGAAACTAGCTACCACTAGGACTTACTTGTTAGAAAAGAGCTGATTGCATTTATATACATTATTTAATCTTTTAATATACTTGTAATTGAGTGGTGACCTTAGGCATAAGAAAAGGAAATACAGAGAAATAACTACTCTGAGGTTAATCTTGAGATTTTTGCAAGGACATGTTAATAGCAGCAGTTTGTGTCACTCAAACTGTACCTTGCTCTTATTTCCCCTCAGGTCCCTCTGGGAAAGGGAAGGCGCTGTGTTGTTTTAGCAGATGGATTCTACGAGTGGCAGCGATATCGGCGCACACATCAGAGCCAACCATTCTTCATCTATTTCCCCCAAGTCAAGACAGAGAAGGTATCATCACTAACACTCACAGAATGTATTTGGAAAGGTACAGGGGAGGCCGGCGCCGCGGCTCACTAGGCTAATCTTCCGCCTTGCGGCGCCGGCACACCGAGTTCTAGTCCCGGTCGGGGCGCTGGATTCTGTCCCAGTTGCCCCTCTTCCAGTCCAGCTCTCTGCTGAGGCCAGGGAGTGCAGTGGAGGATGGCCCAAGTGCTTGGGCCCTGCACCCCATCGGAGACCAGGATAAGTACCTGGCTCCTGCCATCAGATCATTGGAGGGTGAACCAACGGCAAAAGGAAGACCTTTCTCTCTGACTCTCTCTCTCTCACTGTCCACTCTGCCTATCCCCAAAAAAAATAATAATAGTAAAATAAAATTTTAAAATTTAGAAAGGTACAGGGGAGCAAATTAATCCAAAGAAGGACATTTTTTCCTTAACTCACACAGTTGGGTTTTTTTCTTAATAACAGCATTACTGGGATAAAATTCATCAACTCACTGATAGATTACATTAAAGTTCTACTTCAGGTTGTGCAGCCATTGCCACTATCCAATTTTGGAACATCTTCATTACCCCAGAAAGAAACTCCATACCCATTCACCCTCCACTCTTTAATCCTCCCAGCTCTTGGCAACCACCAATCTGTTTCCTGTCTATAGATTTGCATGTTTTGGACATTTTCTAAAAATAGAAAGCAGAAGCTTAACCCCCTGCACCACAACACTGGCCTCTCTGCAAGAGCCTTTAACATATTAATTCTACGTACTTTAAGTTTCCAGTCTTTAATATTTGACTTTGATTTCAACATCTAGGACATGTAATCTCTCAGAATTAGTTCTGTCGATTTCTACATCTCTTGGCAATTGATTATTTTTTCCAGCTTTTGTGTCTTACAGTTTTATTGTGGCTAGGCATAGTAAATAGGACAAAAACTGAGAAAAATAATACTTACAGGGGCCAGCGCTGTGGCGCAGTGGGTTAACACCCTGGCCTGAAGTGCCAGCATCCCATATGGGCGCCAGTTCTAGTCCTGGCTTCTCTTCCAATACAGCTCTCTGCTATGGCCTGGGAAAGCAGTGGAAAGTGGTCCAAGTCCTTGGGCCCCTGCACCCACGTGGGAGACTGGGAGATAGCTCCTGGCTCCTGGCTTTGGATCAGTGCAGCTCCGGCCGTTGAGGCCATCTGGGGAGTGAACCATCTGATGGAAAACTTCCCTCTCTCTCTGCCTCTCCTCTATCTGTAACTCTTTCAAATAAATAAATAAATCTTTTAAAAAAATAATACTTACAGCTGGAAATTCTTCTAGTAGGCCAGTAATGTGTGAGAGTGAGCTAAGCATACCAGGAATTAAAGGAAATGTGGGGTTTCGTTGTTGATAAAATTACCTTTGCTTACTGCTGGCTTTCTGTTTTTCTGGGGATTACTAGTGTTTGGGGTGAGATTTTATTTATTTATTTGAGAGGCAAAGCTACAAAGGGAGAGACAGGAGACAGGTATTTCATCTGGTGGCTCACTCCCAAAATGGCCACAATGGCCGTACCTGTGCTGATCCAAAGCCAGAAGCCAAGAGCTTCTTCTGGGTCTCTCACACAGGCAGAAGGACCCAAGAACTTGGGCTATCTTCTGCTTTGCCAGACCATAGCAGGGAGCTGGATCAAAAGTGGAGCAGCCAGGACTCGAACTGGTGCCCATATGGGATGCCAGCACTGCTGGCAGGTTTACCACCATGCCACAGCACCAGCCCCAAGGATTGATTTTCTAGAGGGTTTTTCTTGGTAGCTGCAGGACTTTGCTGTGAGGCTGAGCCGTGAAGAGGCTCTGCCTGTGGACTGCTGTTGTCACTGGGTGCTTGATAGTCTGAGGGTTCTTCTTTTTTGATTGTCTGTCATGGATAGACCCATGTTTCAAGCTTTCTACGTGATCCTGACCTTCCTCAGAGCTTGGGGACTTTATTCTCTTTTTCCCCTAATTTTTATTTATTTATTTAAAAGAGACAGAGATATCTTCCATCTGCTGATTGAGTCTCAAAATACCTCCAACAGCAGAAGTTGGGCCAGGTTGACACCAGGAATCGAACTGAATGTGGGTCCCCCACATGGGGGAAAAGAACCCAGATCCTTGGGCCATCACCTGCTGCTTCTCGGGGTGAGCATTAGCAGGAGGCTGGAATTGAGAGCAGAGCCAGGACCCCACACTGCAGTACAGTACACAGGTGCTCCAGGTGGTATGTTAACGGCTGCACCACGTGCCCGCCTCCGGGGAGTTTATCCTCCCATCTGTAGCGTTAGTAGGACTTGGCTTGTATCCTTGGGCTGACAGGGATCATTGCTCTTTGCCTGGCACTTTGAGTCTTGTCTCTGAGGGGTGATGTCCTCAGATGAGGCTTCTTGCCTTTTCTGAAGCAGAGAACTGCCCTCCTCTATCTGTGCAACACAGGAGGACTACCTCCCATCTCCTGCCCTGCTCGCATTCTTTCTTGTGACCATTTGTGTTAGCTGTACTCTGCTTCTAGCAATGTAATACTCATTTTATTTGAATTCTTACTGGTTTCTATGAAGGCCCGGTGTTCCTTCTGTTGTCACCAATTAGCCAGTGTTTGTGTCCCATCTCCTCTTGGAAGTTCCTGTCCTTCCTTAAATTTCAGGCTTATTGGTTGCCCAGAAACCTCAGTTCTATGATAAACTTTTAAAAAGTTATGTTTAGATGACGAGTATGTTGTGAATCAGGTAAGACGCCACTTCAGATGCCCACATCCCATGTCAGAGTCCATGGGTTCAAGTCCCAGCTCTGCACCTGATTCTGCTAATGCATACCCTGGGTCCCCCAAGGGAAACCTAGATAGAATACTGGCTCCCAGCTTCAGCCTGGTCCAGCCATGACTGTTGCAGGCATTTGGGGAGTGATCCACCTGTCTTTCTTTTCTTTCTTTCTTTCTTTCCTTTTTTTTTGACAGGCAGAGTTAGACAGTGAGAGAGAGAGACACAGAAAGAGAGGTCTTCCTTTTCCGTTGGTTCACCCCCAAAATGGCCGCCACAGCCGGTGCTGCACCAATCCGAAGCCAGGAGCCAGGTGCTTCCTCCTGGTCTCCCCTGCGGGTGCAGGGACCTGGGCCATCCTCCACTGCACTCCTGGGCCACAGCAGAGAGCTGGACTGGAAGAGGAGCAACCGGGACAGAACCGGCGCCCCAACCAGGACTAGAACCTGGAGTGCTGGCACCACAGGCGGAGGATTAGCCTAGAGAACCGCGGTGCCGGCCTCTTTCTCTTTATTTTTTCCTTCTTTCCTTCTTCCTTTCTTTCTTTCTCTGTTTATCTCTGTTTCTTTTTCCCTATATCTATCTATCTGCCAAGTTAGATAAAAAAGTTATGGTGTTGTAGATTATCAACATTCGTCCTAATTTTTAGGATAAAGTGACATACTTTGCAGCTTTCCATATTCTAGTTCTTGAATTGTATCTTGAATAGCAAGTAGGAGGTGGCATTGATGAGAAAGGGTGGGAAGGACATTTTGGGCAGAGGAAGGTTGCTTATTAAGACACAGGGACATAGAAGTACATGACAGCTTCATTGACTGACAGTTTGGGTTCAAATTAGCAATGTGAGCTACAGTTAGAATCATGGGATAGATCAAGGAAGGCCTTAATACCCTGTGAAGGTGTTAAATTCTGAAAATATTATGGAGCCATGAATCCACAGTTTCTCTGAACACTCACCACCAAACCTCTTCCTTTTGGTGACCATGGATTAAGAGGGGTTAATAGGTCATGGGCTGAATGACTTCTTTTCTTTCTTAAAGATTTATTTATGGGCCAGTGCTGTGGCATAGCAGGTAAAGCCACTGCTTGCAGTGCTGGCATCCCATATGGGCACCGATTTGAGTCCCAGCTGCTCTACTTCTGATCCAGCTCTCTGCCTTGGAAAGCAGTAGAAGATGGCCCAAGTGCTTGTGCCCCTGCACCCATGTGGGAGACCCAGAGGAGGCTGCTGGCTCCTGGCTTCAGATCAGCATAGCTCCAGCCATTGCAGTCATCTGGGGAGTGAACCAGCAGATGGAAGACCTCTCTCTCTCTGCCTCTCCTCTCTCTGTATAACTCTGACTTTCAAATAAATAAATAAATATTTTTTTAAAAAAATATTTAAAAAAAATATTTATTTGAAAGGCAGAGAGAGATCAATCAATCTTCCATCTGCTGATTCACTCCTCAAATAGTCAAAATGGCAATGGCTGAGATGAGGCCAAAGCCAGGAGCCAGGAGCTTCATTCAGGTGTACTATGTGAGTGCAGGGGCCCAAAGACTTGGGCCCTCTTCCACTACTTTCCCAGGCATGTTAGTAGGGCGCTGGATTGGAAGTGGAGCAGCCAGAACTGCAGGCAGAGGCTTAACATTCTATGCTACAGTGCTGGCCCCGGGCTGAAAGACTTCCAGAACGATTCCTGTGTTGTTGAGTCTACAGTGGTATCCAGGCTGCATGTGGAGAAGGACTGCTGCGTGCATCTTACCTGCCTGTGTTTTCTGCTTTCAGTCAGGCAGCATGGGTGCTGCGTACAGTTCTGAGGACTGGGAGCAAGTCTGGGACAACTGGAGGCTGCTGACAATGGCTGGGATCTTCGACTGCTGGGAGCCCCCAGAGGGAGGAGACCTCCTCTACTCCTATACCATCATCACAGTAGATTCCTGCCAAGGCTTGAATGACATCCACCCCAGGCAAGTCACAGTTCTCATCCCTGCAGCCTAAAGCATTCAAGTAAAGTTTGTGCTTTCAGACTTTTTGAGAATAAGAAATTAAGGGCAGTTGTTACACAAAGTACAGGTAGAGTGAGTTTGGCTGTAAATGATGTGTCATTCCTAAAAATCACTGCACTATGTGAAATCGTAAAAACTATGTAACTTGGGGCTGGCGCTATGGTGTAGCAGGTAAAGCTGCCACCTGCAGTGCTGGTGTCCCATATGGGCACCGGTTCGAGACCTGGCTGCTCCACTTCCATTCCAGCTCTCTGCTACAGCCTGGGAAAGCAGTAGAAGATGGCCCAAGGTCTTGGGTCCCTGCACCCACATGGGAGACCCAGAAGAGACTCCTGACTCCTGGCTTCGGATCAGCATAGCTCCAGCCATTGCGGCCATCTGGGGAGTGAACCAGCAGATGGAAGACCTCTCTCTCTCTCTGCGCCTCTCTCTCTGCCTCTCTGTAACTCTGCCTTCTAAATAAATAAAATTTAAATACATAAATAAAACTACATAACTTATGCAAGAATGAGGTTAAGGAGACAACACTTAAAAAGTTTTGTCAGTGTCAAATTAAAAAATAGGGGAGTAGTCTGTAGCACAGCAGATCAAACCAGCACCTGCAACTCTGGCATCCCATTTGGACGCTGGTTCAAATCTCAGCTGCCCCACTTCCAAGTGCCCCTGCTTGAGGAAAGGCAGCAGAAGGTTGGCCCAAGTATATGAACCCCTGCCACTCATGTGGGAGAACAAACGGAGTTTCTGGCTCCTGGCATCAGCCTGACCCTTCTGGACCATCACTGCCATTTGGAGAATGAACCAGTAGACAGAAGATCTCTTTCTGTCTCTACCTTCCAAGTAAATAAAAAAATAAAAAAATAGGAACCTAATTCCTATTAAGAACCAGTTTTGTTCCTGTTATTAGGAAATATGCAAATACCACACCTGACCTTGAATAAGACTTAAAGTTTGCTTGTGGAAGAGGTGTTAGAAGAACTACACTCAGAGCCGGCATTGTGGCTCAGTGGGTTAAGCTACCAACCTGTGATCCCACATGGGCACTAGTTCAAGTCCTACCTGGTCCATTTCCTTTCCAGCATCCCTGCTATTGTGCCTGGGAAAGCAGCAGTAGATGGTCCAAATACTTGGACCCCTGCCACCCACGTGGGCAACCTGGATGGAATTCTCAGCTCCTGGCTTGGCCTGGCCCAGCACCAGCCATTATGGCCATTTGGGGAGTGAACCAGCAGATTGAAGATTTTCTCTCCTTCTCGCCTCTCTCTCCTCTCACCTCTCACCTCTCCCTAACTCTGCCTTTCAAATAAATTAAATCATTAAAAAAAAAAAAGGCAGAACAATAACTTATGAGTTACTACTATGTAGTGTCAGGAGGGAGGTTATACACAGTTTGTGATCTTGAATTCTAAAGTCCTGAGGCATGTTTTTCAGTCTTTGAAAAAGTTGTTCCTTTGAAGCAAGTGTTTATAGCAGTTGCCTGTTTGATCAAATTGAGCATTTGATCCAATGTTTTGCTGCTTCCTTCAGTTAACGTCTGTATCACTGCTCTAAGTTCTTTCAGCAGCATTTTCTTCTGTCCGGGCGGCTTCTGACAGGAGAAAGCTTTGCAAATTGTAGCAACATACAAGACCACTACCTGCTACTGGCACTAAAAAGGGCTGGTGCTGTGGCATAGCAGCTAAAGCTGCCGTCTGCAGTGCCAGCATCCCATGTGGGCACCGGTTCGAGACCTGGCCACTCCACTTCCAATCCAGCTCTCTGCTATGGCCTGGGAAAGCAGTGGAAGATGGCCCAAGTCCTTGGGTCCCTGCACCTGCATGGAAGACCTGGAGGAAGCTCCTGGCTTCGGATCAGCACAGCTCCGGCCATAGCGACCAATTGGGGAATGCACCAGCAGATGGAAGACCTCTCTTTCTGTCTCTCCTCCTTTCTGTGTAACTCTTTCAAATAAATTAAAAAAAAAAAAAAAAAAAAAAAGAGCAACCAGGACTCAAATTGGTACCCATAAGAGATGCTGGCACCATGGCAGCAGCTTTACCTACTGCACCACAGCGCTGGCTCCTAACCATCTTCCCGTTGCTTCTGTTTTAGGTCTGGTTGGTATTGGCTTCATAGCACTTTTTGACTTTGTTTCAACCATGGATGTTTTATTTTTGCAGCACGTCACTGAAGTGGAATCCTTTATAAATGTTGCTGCTCAGGATAACCACATTCTCACTTTTCTTTCAAGATGCTGTATCATTTCAGGCTCTTCAGTGTTTAAAACATTTCTGTTTTCATGTATTGCCTGCCATTTTTTGAACCAGGGAGCTTAAACATGTGTTATTTTATTATATATAGCAGAGTTCACAAGTGCAAACGAAGAGTAAAACCCAGCTTTGTAGGATAATGTGCCATGAGTCAAGGTAGCTGTCAGCATTTAAGGTGGGTGCAGATGTACATTTTGTGTATTCCTACATGGTTCAGATCAGCAGGGGGGCAGTTTTCTGTGTCCATCCTCCTGGCTCTTACAGATGAAATTGTGCAAAGCAAGCACAGAATTTTTGTTATGCTCCAGTTGCTCTCTGATATATCAGTTGCATCGGAACAAATATTTTTAAAACAAGCATTAGCAGAACTGACTATACTTGTTTAACGCCTTCACAGTTTTTGCTGCATCAGCATACTCTGAAGTGACTTTTTTGGTGTTCTACTGAAAAGAATGTAGTACTATACCTATCAGAATTACCCACTTTATTTAGCTTTCTCCTAAGCTGTATCTGGGAAAATATGCTTTCATGTGATTACAGTACCAATTTTTGCTAGTTAATCTGAAAATAAATTCCTCTATCTTAGATAATTAAAACAATACTAATTTTAAAATGTACTGTTATTTTATCTGGTGTTAGGTAAAGCTCTGTGAATTATGGCCAACTAAACTATGAGGAGCTTCAAAAATTTCATGAAAAATGGAATTAAAAGATAAATTTGTTTTTGTGAAAAAAGATTTTTGAAATCCATGCACACTTTTCTCCTACTACACATTTTGTTTCCTTTTATTTTTTAAAAAAGATTGATTTGTTTATGAGTTTCCCACGTGGATGACAGTACTTGGACCAGCTTCCACTGCTTTCCCAGGTGCATTAGCAGGTAGCTGGACCAGAAACAGACCAGCTGGGACACAGGCACTGACTTAACCTGCTATACCACTACACCAATCCCCAGAGTACACGTTTTCTGTGAACCTTTAAATATTTCTGTTTCTCGTCTACTTGTAAGGCAGAGTGACAGACACCAAGACCCTCTATGTGCTGGTTGACTCCCCATATACATTAAACAGCCAGAGCTAGACCAGGCTGAAAAGGCACTCAGAACTCCATCTAGGTCTCTTTAGGTCTCTTACGTGGGTGGCAGGGTCCCAAGCACTTGAGCCATCATCTTCTGCCCAGAAACAGAAGCAGAGCAGCTAGGACTTTTTAAAAAAAATTATTTTATTTGAAAGGCAAAGTTACAGAGAGGCAGAGGTAGAGAAAGAGAGTCTTCCATCTGCTGGTTCACTCCCCAGATAAAGCAGAAATAGAATGGAGCAGCTGAGATTTGAACCAGGGATTCTGACATGGAATGCAGTGTCCTAAGAGGGCAGCTCAACCTACTGTGCCACAATACCTTCCCTTAAAATATTTTTTAAATACATGTTTTATTTGTTGAATAGAATTAAACCACTCATATAGAAGTTTATACTTTTGTTTCCTGAAATCAGTTGTACCATACACTGATGAAGTATGTATCATGTTGTGCATTGGCCTAGGATACAAAAGTGACACTAGACATATAGTCTTTTCCCAACATCTTTGGTAGCCTCTGCTTTTCTAAGGCTTAGTTTCCTGTGTTCACAATAAGGTGACTAGTGGTTTCTTCCATTAAGTCTTTAACCAGTGGTGGAGGCTGGACATTGTTGGCAGACAAGTTTTCCAAATCTGTTTTATCTTTAATTGTAGTTTGTGCCATTATGGAAAATTGAACGTTGGCTAGAGGATATACTTGAGCGTACTATACTAGATCCATACACAGCACTCACCCCTAATTATCTTTGCCACAAAACATTATAACATGGCTTTCCAAGTACTGAATCGAGCGTCCTTACCAAGTTGTGTTCAGGGAACACATACATGGCAGGTGCAGATAAAGAGTGAGCTGCTCCTGGTGCTGATCTGAGCCATCAGCTGGCTCAGATCTCTCCCTGCTTCTCTCCTTCCCCTCTCTCTACCTCTCCCAACCTCTATCTCCATTTCCCGCTAGGATGCCGGCTATATTGGACGGGGACGAAGCAGTCTCTAAATGGCTTGACTTTGGTGAGGTCTCAACTGAGGAAGCTCTGAAGTTAATCCATCCTACAGAGAACATCACCTTCCATCCAGTGTCTTCTGTGGTGAGCAACTCACGGAACAACACTCCCGAGTGTCTGGCTCCTCTCCACTTGGTGATGAAAAAGGTAGGGACCTGGGACTATTACAGTCCTTTCCAACTCTGTCAGGGTGGCCCCTGCTTGTAGGATCCGACCTTTTACAGTGGGAACTTTGTTGGTGAGCCTGATAAGCCATTTGGAGGACTCTTTATCTAGAGGGTGAGGATGAGACAAAGGAGCTCTCTTTTTTTTTTTTTTTTTTTTTTGACAGGCAGAGTGGACAGTGAGAGAGAGTGAGAGACAGAGAGAAAGGTCTTCCTTTTCCGTTGGTTCACCCCCCAATGGCTGCTGCGGCCGGTGTGCTGTGGCCGGCGCATCGCGTTGATCCGAAGCCAGGAGCCAGGTGCTTCTCCTGGTCTCTCATGCTGGTGCAGGGCCCAAGCACCTGGGCCATCCTCCACTGCACTCACGGGCCACAGCAGAGAGCTGGACTGGAAGAGGAGTGACCGGGACAGAATCTGGCGCCCCAACTGGGACTAGACCCTGGGATACCGGCGCTGCAGGCAGAGGATTAGCCTAGTGAGCCGCAGTGCCAGCCAAGACAAAGGAGCTCTTGACAGTATTATATCTCCGCTCCTAACCAGCCATGATATTGGATGGTAACTTTCGGCACCTCCATTTTCCCAGCTGTATGTTGGAGGCACACCAGTCTCTTTAGAAGAGTTTGACAATGTTCTTGTTACAAACTAGTTTCTTAGAATTGGCAAGGATCTAGAGGGTATGATTTGAAGGGACGGTGAACAGGCAAAAGGTCTGCAGTGGGGAGGCTGGCCCCACGGACATTCTGGGGTAAGGGTTTAGGAGTAGGGATTGTTGGCAGCTAGCACTGGTGGCATGGAAGGACGTGAAGTAGGACATGCTCAGTGTTCCAAGAATAGGCATCAAATGATGCCTGAGCAGTGTCAGTGAGGATGATTGCAAGAGCAGCCATCCCATGCCTCAGTTTGCTTTGCTTTCCATGTCCGTAGTCGGTGTCTTTTTGTCTCAGTTTTCCTTTTGTTCCTTTTGTCTCAGTTTTCCATAAACTCCTGCAACTCTTAATACTTTTTTTTTTCATTAGATGCCTAGACATGTGACTGTGTTCCTTTTACACGAGCTACTGCCCTATTTCCACCATGGTCCTTACGTGGGGAAGTAGTGTTCTGGAGAGGCGGCAGTACACTGAGGACCCTTCAGTTCAGCGTGGAGGTACAGGTGTAAGGAAAGCCGCGAGAGGGAGTAGCAGTGGGCAGACAGTTGTACAGACAAACCAAAGAGGAGACCATAAGCCGCGAATCCCTGTCATGGTCGGTGGCTGTTGGAAGCTCTCCCACTCCTGCAGCCTCACTTGCCAGCATTCCTCCTGAACTGCCTTCTTTGCTTGCTTCTCTGAACTGCTCCCTGCCCTTAAAGCACACTCCTTGCTGCCCACTCGTGATGCAGGGCCCAGCTGGCACTTGGCTACATCTTCCAGCCCAGGGCCAGCAGCTGGTGCCTCTTCCCCAGGTTCTTCCCCTCGAGTGGGCTTTTTCTAAAAGGTCAGCTGAGTCTTTTCCACTTTTCCTAGGAGATCAAGGCCAAAGGCAACAGCCAGAAGATGTTGCAGTGGCTGGCCTCAAAATCACCCAAAAAGGAAGAACCAAAAACACCTGAAAAGGAGGAATCAGAGGTGCCCCAGTGGTCCAGCCAGTTCCTACCAAAGGCCTCATTCCCCTCCAAGAGAGGCAGAGCAGCAAAGTCCTCATTCTCCCCGAAGAGAGGCGGCGCAGGGGCCCTGGAGCGTTGGCTGAAGCAGGAGGAGGAGGAGCAGCCCGTGGCTAAGCGGCCTCATAGCCAGCACTAAATACTAGTGCTGGTAACAGGTTCTTCCGTTGTGTGCTTCTTTGTGTTAATTGACGGTGGGCTCATGAGGAAGTGGCTATCCTGGCTGTGACGAGGTACCCCAGGGAGGCTGTTGGGCAGCTGCCATCACTGATCCTCTGGGCCCCCTGGGCTGCCTTTCCCTGCTAGGGCTAGCAGAGCCTTCCTCCAAGCAGGTGCCTTTCGGGGTGCTCAGCCCTCGTCTGGGGCCTCTAGCAGCAGGCTCTTCTCTGCTCAGCCTCTGGTCTCTCTCTGTGTTCTACAGTTAAGTTCTTGAACTGTTTTATCAGAATAAATTCTATTTGGTAAACCTCTACCTACATTATGGAAAATGATGCTGGCGGGGGAGCCGGTAGAGTTCTAGATCTTACCCAGTCTTCTGGCATAAGTCTTAAGGAATAGATTTTTTCACACATGGGACACTGGGGCTTGGTGAGGAAAAAAACTAAAGAAGCTTTGGGTGCTATGGCCTGGGAGTGCAGTGGAGGATGGCCCAAGTGCTTGGGCCCTGCACCCGCATGGGAGACCAGGAGAAGCACCTGGCTCCTGGCTTCGGATCACCACGGTGCGCCAGCCGCAGCGGCCATTGGGGGGTGAACCAACAGAAAAGGAAGACCTTTCTCTCTGTCTCTCTCACTGTCCACTCTGCCTGTCAAATAAATAAATAAATAAATAAATAAATAAATAAAAAAGAAGCTTTGGGGAGGGTTCCTGTTGGGTCTCTTCTCTCTTAATACTTGGAAGCTGTCTGAATCCTTTAGCTGAAAACCAGCCCGAGTTGAGTGCCTGTCACACAGAGGCCAAGACCTCTTTGGCATAGGGAACAGGGGCTGCATTCTGAGGACGAGGATCTGAGGCTGTGGGAGAAACTGCCCACCTGCTCCAGCCTGGGCCAGAGTCCCAGCGACTGCTCTGCGGGCTCCCCTGTCTTTCCTCTGGGCACGGAGTCACTTTATGGCTAATTCGGTACTTACTTTCTCTTCTGTTGTCCCTCGTCCCATCTGGACCATTAGTTCCATGAAATCAAGAACTGCCTTTTTTGCTGTTTTCCCCCAGTGTTAATAATTGGTGTGCAAATATTTGTTACATGGGTCCAGCGCTGTGGCACAGCGAGTGAAGCTGCCATCTGCAGCGCTGGCATCCCATATGGGGCTGGTTCCAGTCCTGGCTGCCCCATTTCCCATCCAGCTCCCTGCTGGTGGCCCAAGTCCCTGGGCCCTCGTACCAACATGGGAAACCCGGAAGGTGCCCCGGGCTCTGGCTTTGGCCTGGCCCAACCCCGGTCCTTGGGGCCACTTGGGGAGTGGAAGACCTCTTTGTCTCTCTCATTCTCTAACTTTCAAATAAATAAATCTTTTCAAAAAAAATTCTTTGTTCCATGGATTTGAACACTTCCTGTGTGCCCAGTCCTTTGCTACAGCAGGGTCTGACACGTTAATTGCCAGGCGCCACAAACGCAATTAAGTACTTTTGTGTCCTGCAAAGTGGCCCAGAACTGCAGCAGCTGGGACTGCCCCACAGTCCCGCTCCCGCGCCCCTTCCGGCCCGGGACTGCCGCCGCCAAAAGGCTGGGGGCGGGGTGGGGGGCGGAGCAGAAGAGTCAGCACCAGGCCGGTTCTGCTCCTGCCTCTTCGGGACATCCAGGAAGAAGGGGTCCGCAAGACGCTGCCCCAGGCGGCTGGAAGGGAGAGGGCTGGACGACTGGGAGGCGCAGGAACCGGGACCCCCACGCCGCGCCGGCCACAGGTTGCCAGGAGGATGTGCTTGAGCGGGTGCTGGCCCCAAGCCCTACGCAAATTAGGGATCGGAATTTCCGCCAATCAGAGTGAAGCTTCGACCCCGGGGCTGCTAATAGGCGTGAGCGGCGCTGGTCTTGGGAGAGGTGGGGGGCTGGCAGCTCGCGGGGCCCAACAGCCAGTCTGGTCTGCATTCCGCTTTCCCGCGCCCTGTGTTCCCGGTGCAAGGGTGGGGCAGGGTCGTGCTGGTGACGCACTGGAGCGCCGCCGTGAAGGCGGAGGCCTTCCGGTTTGGGGCCGGTTTGTGTAGGTTTGGTTGTTAAGTAATTTTTTAAGTTTAGATAAGTTTCTAGGAATGTTCAGTGCTGTAACTTGCGGTAGTTTCCTGTCACAGTGCACCCGGGTGTTGTGTTTGCTTCAACTTTAGTAATGACAAAATTCTCTGCTTTTCATTGGCACCTCCGGCTGTTCCTTGGTTGCAGGTGAGCTTGGTGGGTTCTTTTCATGTCTGTAAAAGACACTGCGTGGACGTGCGTCCTTTCCATTTCAAGTTTTTGAACTTTCTTATAAACGTGATGTTAAGAGCATGTGTTGATATCTGAGAACTGTTTTGTGTTGCACGCTTTCATAAATGGTTTTTATTGGGCATTTCATTCTCCATCTTTTTTTCTGAGTCATCAGCCTAGTTGGCCATGGCCACTTCAGGGGTTTCTAAATCCCTGTTTTCCCCACCTCTCCACCAGTACTTAATCCACCTGATGGAGCACGAGAGCATCTTCTGTCCTTGGTTTGTAACTGAATCTCAGGGACCAGACTGCCCTCACCTGCCTGTCTGGGTGTGGCCAGGTACAGCCAGGCCCGCATTCTCTGGTGCCAGTGAGGGCAGCCCTAGGATGTGGCTGTCTAACCCCCTGGGCTCTCAGATGGCAGCCCTCCCTCTCCTTGGCAACCTCTATCAGTGGCCAGGCTGGGCTCCAGGGCTTGTGGGCTTCCCTGCCCTGCAGCTTAGAGGCAGCTGAGGGCTCGGGGACGCATGGTTCTTATCATTTCAGGTGACTGTCCCAGTCCTGGCTCCAGTGCGCCTGGATCCACCGCCACATGCTGCTGTTGTGTTTGAACCCCAGCCCTGCCTTGTGTTGGGACTGAACAGACCCAGGCAAGGGTCAAAGTTGGCTGAGAGCATACTCTTCAGAACAGGAAGTTGGGAAAACACGTGAGGGACTCCCAGCTTGGGAGGAGTGGCTCAGCTTGGAGATTTTGGACAAGATCCTGCTGTTGCCAGTAAGGGCATGGAGGACGGGTGTTTTGGTGGGAACTAGAGACTGTAGGAGAAGCCTCAGTCTCCAAGATTCCCACTGGAGCCTGCACATCCTCCCTCTGTCTCAGACAGCGTGAGCAGGGAGGGATGCAAAGGGAAGAACCCCGTACCCCTGCAGAGTCAGAACATGCCAGATGATTGCATCCTCTCTGGGACTTGGTCTGGCCATCTCTCAATCAAGAGGGTGGGTGCTCACACTCAAACGCCCAGGAGCCCCGGGCAGCACATGCTGGCTATTCAGGGGAACCTAAGACCCACCCCTGTCCTGGTGTTCCTTGTGTGGACGTGGATCCCTGCTTGGTGTGCTTCCATCCTAGGGTTCCAAAAAGGAAAAGCTTGCTTTAGGCTCCAGCAGGCAGCATTCCCAGTGGGCAACGGAAGCCACAGGACTGAAGGAACTGGGGCATCAGTGAAAGGGTCGGAAGTCAAACTGCATAACACAGGTGGTTTCATTTTTTTAAAAATATTTTCATCTGCTTGAAAGGCAAAGTGACAGAGAGGGGTCTTCCAACTGCTGGTGCACTTCCCAAATGCCTACAACAGCCAGGTTTCCCACATGGGTAGCAGATACCCAATACTCCAGCCAGTATCCACTGCTTCCCAGGATACATCAGCAGGGAGGTGGATTGGAAATGGAGCAGCTGAACTCCAATGTGTGCTCCAATATGGGATGTGGATGTTATAAGCCATGGCTTAAACGGCTGTGCCACAGTGTCCACCTCAGGAGGTTTTAGAGGGCAGCCAGGTTGGGGCTGGGTCCAATCCCACATTTCTAGGCCCTAAGACACCAGAAGAATAGGGGCTAGAGGGAGGAGGAAAGAAGTTGGCAGAAAAGGGACCCCTTGGGAAGTGCACTGGGCAGAGCTCTCGAATCCTAGTGAGAAGTACAGACACCGTACCCCAGCAGGTGCGCCCTGGGTTCCACTGGCTTATGGCTTCCTTTGGCTCAGTCTCCTCCAGGACACCGCCACATGTGGCTTCTTGTGAAGTGGCTGGAAGGGTCCACATAGAAGACTGAGTTGAAGAATCACACAGGTGGGGAACTGTAGACCTCATTCAGCTAAAACGTTGATTTTTGCCTGTGTGATATTTATTATAATTGTGGAGAAATACATAATATTTGCCATCTTAGCCACTTTCAATTGTACAATTCAATAGTGTTTGTTCGCATGGCTGTGCAGTCTCTGGAATTTTTTCATCTTGCCAAACAAACACCTAAGAAGCAGGTCCCATTTCCCCTCCGCTCAACCCTTGACAACGGCCATTCTACTTACTTCAAAGGGCCAGAGAGAGCACTCCTGTCCACTGGTCCATTCCCCAGATGCCTGCAACATCTGAGACTGGCCAGAGCTAGGAGCCAGGAACTCAATCCGGGTCTCCCATGTGGGTAGCAAGGACCAAATTACTAGCACCAACACCACTGCCTCCCAGGGTGCACTTCAGCAGGAAGCTACATCAGAAGAGCAGCTGGGACTTGGATCGGGTACTCCACGCAGCATTTTAACCGCTACACCAAGCACCTGTCCCTTTTCATCTGCAGTTTGGACTCCTCCAGGTACCTCATGTAAAAGAAACCATGCAGTGGTTGGGGGTCCCTACCGGTAACTTAACCACTGTGCCAAACACTCAGCCCAGCGCTTCTGACCTGGCCTAAGTTTGGCTGTGTTGCGATTCAGCAGATCAGCAGCAGAATCCGGGTAGTTGCGGCCCCTCTTCAGGAGGGATCTGTGCCTTCTGGTTGGCCTGGCAGCTGTGGATGTGTGTTGGAGACACCTGGCCTAGTTCTTCCTCATCTTCACACCCCCCGCCCCCACACACCTTTTCTACCTAGGGATCTGGGGTGGCCAGGCAAAACTACATTTCCCAGGTCTCACTTACCTGTGTGCTTCCACAAGGCCGGTTCCTGCCAGACCAGGATGAAGCTGACCGCCTGCCTCACCGCCTTGGGAAGCAGCACCGTGCTTTGGTTTCTCTGACACAGGGGTCAGGCGTGCACCTGTTGAGCTCCGTGGCTGGACAGCAAGAGCAGACACGGGTTTCGGTCTGTCCTCAGTGCCGGGAGGTGGTCAGCCTTTGCTTGGGAGCCTCCCTGCTGAACACCTGCCCGTGGACTTGAAGCTCTACCGGTCAGGGCGATACAGCCCCCAGGAACGGCTTCCTCGGCGCCATGGCGACATGGGCCCATTCTCCATGGCAGAGCGAACCGCCGCATCCTGTACGTGCCTCCTGGGTCCCCTCTGGCTCTGCTTCTCTGCTCCAGCCCTGGCAGCACTGCCCTCTGTCAGTCACCTGCTGTTGTCTCCGTTCTCCAAACGTCTTCCGGGCGCCAGGGCCTGTGCTAGTGCTGAGTCGAAGCTGCTGCTTGTGTCTCCTTCCACACAGGACCTAGCACCGTCCCCTACCTCGGCGCGCCTGGCCTCAGCCTGGCCCAGCCAGTGGGTGCTATGGAAGACCATGGACAAGACCTTAACATGTTCCACTGCCCCCATTCTGCACATGCCAGTGGGCCCAACAGCAGTTGCCATACCAAGAACCAGGACCTCTGCTGTCTCCCACCTGGCAGGGCAGCTGCCCGGGGCAGGGGGTGTCAGGAGAGCGAGCCTGGTGACGTGGAGAGTGCTCCCCGCAGGGATGAGGA